AGAAGAAAAAAATTAAAACAAAGATCAGACCATCACTAAATGACATTGAGACCAAAAAAAGTAATATGAAAGATCAATAAAACATAAAATTGGTTCTTTGAAAGGACATACAAAATTGAGAGACCACTAGCTGTACTAATCAAGAAAGAAACAAGATTAAAATAATAATCACAAATGGTAAAGGTGAAGTAACTCATACTACAGAGACTACTATGAAAACCTCTATGCACACAAACTAGGAAACCTAGAGGAAATGAATAAATTCCTGAAAGCATAGAACTTCTCAAGATTGAACCAGGAAGAAATTGAAATGGAAAACAGACCAACAATAAGTAATGAAATTGAATCAGTAATAAAAAAAATCATCCAACAACAGCAACAAAAGCCCAGGACCAGATGGTTCTACAGCCTAATTTTACCAGATATACAAAGAACAGTTGGCATCAATCTTACTGAAACTATTTAAAAAAAAATAAGGAGAAAGTCTTCTCGAACTCATCCTCCTAATCCAGTTTCACCCTGACACCAAAATCAAGCAAGGACACAACAAAAAAGAGAAAACTATAGGCTGATATATCTGATGAACATAGATGCAAAAATTCTCAACAAAATACTAGCAAACCAAATCAAACAGCACATCAAAAAGATAATTTATCACAATCCAATGGGCTTTATTTGAGGGATGCAAGGATAGTTCAACATATATAAATCAATAAACATAATTCACCACATAAAGAAGACTAAGAACAAAAACCTTATGATCATCTCAATAGATGGAGAAAAAGCATTTGTGAAAATCCAACATTCCTTCATGATAAGCATCCTCAAAAAGGAGGCATGGATGAAACATACCTCAAAATAATTCAAGACATCTATGGCAAACAAAGAGCCAATAACACAACGAAGAGGGCAGTTGAAAGCATTTTCCCTATGAACTGGAACAAGACAAAGAAGTCCATTCTGACTACCACTTCTAAGCATAGTACTGGAAGTCTTAGAGCAAGACGAGAAAGAAATAAAAAGTGTCCGCATTAGAAAAGAAAAGCCAAATTATCTCTGTTTACTGATGACATGATCTGATACCTAGAAAACCCTAAAGACTTCAGAAGAGTCCTAGACTTGATAAGCAACCTCAGGATACAAAATCAACATGCAAACATCAATAGCATTTCCATATACCAATCACTGAAAGTGAAAACCAAATTAATAACTAATCCCATTTATAAGAGCACAAAAATTTATTTTATAATACATTTAACCAAGAAGGTAAAAGATCTCTATAAGAAGAACTACAAAATACTGATGAAAGAAATCACAGACAACATTAAAAAAAAAAATCCATCTGGAGGTATCATACTGCCTGATTTCAAATTATACAATGCTATAGTAACTAGAATAGCATCGTCCTGGTATAAAAATAGACTCATAGATCAATGGAACAGAACAGAAAACCCAGAAATAAAGTCACACACCTACAATGAACTGATCCTCTAAAAAGTCAACCAGGAAAAAAAAAAAAGAAAAAAACGAGGAAAGGACACTCTATTCAATACATGGTACCGGGAAAACTGGGTACTGGGTAGCCATATATAGAAAACTGACACTGGACCCCATCTTACCATATACAAAAGTTAACTCAAGATAGATTAAAGACAGAAACATAAGACCTGAAACTATACAATTCCTAGAAGAAAACCTAGGAAATAGGACATCAATGTAGGCAAAGAATTTTTGAAGACCCCAAAAGCAAATGTGACAAAAACAGAAATTTGAGACTTAATTAACATAAAAAGCTTCTGCATAGCAAAAGAAATAATCAATAGAAAAAACAGACCTACAGAATGGTAGAAAATATTTGCAAATCATGACTCAGACAAAAGACTAATATCCAGAATCCACAAGTAATGCAAACAATTCAACAAGAAAATAACAAGCAAAAACATCAACAGACATTTTTCAAAAGAAATGTAAGCAGACAACAAATACATGATAAAATGCTCAATATCACTAATCATCAGAGAAATGCAAATTAAAACCACAATGAGATATCATCTTACACCAGTTTGAATGGCCATTAAAAAGTCAAAAAATAACAGATGTTGGCATAGACGTGGAGAAAAGGAAATGCTTATAAATTGTTGGTGGAAATGTAAATGAGTCCAACCTCTATGGAAAACAGTATCCAGATATCTCAAAGAACTAAAACTATAACTACCATTTGATCCAACAATCTCACTACTGGGTATCTGTACAAAGGGGGAAAAAACATTATATTAAAAAGATACCTGCATTTATATGCTTATCATAGCACAGTTCACAATAGCAAAGTCATGGAACCAACCTAAGTGCCTACCAACAGTTAATTAGATAAATAAAATGTAATATATACACACCACAGAATACTATGCAGCCATAAAGAAGAACAAAACTATGTCCTTTGCAGCAACATGTATGAAGCTGGGAGCCATTAACCTAAGAGAACTAACTCAGAAGTAGAAAATCAAATATGTCATGTTCTAACTTGTTGAGTGAGACCAAAACAATGGGTACACATATAAACATAGAGATGGAGATAACAGACACTAAGAACTCTTAAAAGGGAAGAGGGTTGAAGGGGAGTGAGGGGTAAAAAATTACCTGTTGGGTACAGTGTTCAATATTTAGGTGATGGAAACACTAGAAGCCCAATTTCTACCACTATGCAGGCAATACCCTTGTAACAAACAAGCACATATACCACCAGTGTCAAAACTTAAAATTTTTTAAATGAAATAAAATAAAATTTCAAACTCACAGAAGCAAAGAATGGTGCTTGCCAGGTACTGGGAATTTGGGAGCAAAATGAGATGTTGGTCAAAGTGAACACAGTTTGGTAGACAGCATGAGTAAGGTCTGCAAATCTGTTGCACCAAATGTACAATAAGAGTGTACACTTGAAAACTGCTAAGAGAATAGATCTTAAATATTCTCACTGCAAAAAATTAGATAATGTTAGCTTTATTTAATCTTTTCACAATATACATTGTAAAGATATAATTTTATTTGTCAATTGCACCTTAATAAAGCTGGCAGGGAGGGATGGGTGCAAAAAATAAAGGGCACCTGTGCTAGGCTCAACTTTTCCAATGTGTTCAGTTGACACATTGGTGACAGTCTCACGTTATGACTTTTCTGACACTGTGGTCTGGAAAAAACACTCTCCCCTATATGTAACAGCCATTAACGCGCGTGCGCACGCGCACACACACACACACACACACACACACAGAGGAATTTAATATAGTAATATTCAGTATCTCCAACTTTCCTGTTACCATGGTAACTAGCAGCATTAAGTCCTGCTGCTAAAATTCAAAAGCAGATGACATGAACTATTTATGTATAATTGCATTTCATAAAGAGAAAAAACTTATCTTTCACATAAAATATGACTGAGTCTCAGATGAGTCTCAGATATCACATTGGTGTCAGAACAAATGTAGCAAGTCCCCTGTCCCCAAGCCCTCTACTCCAGTGTGTGTTGCTTCCATATGAAGTAGAAAAAGCAAGATGGCAAACAGGGGTTTGGCCTCCTACAGAAAGTGCCTGACCTGATTTGAGCTGGTGCCATTGCAAAGACAATCAGGGCTCAAGTATTCACTTCTCCAAATTGAGTGTAGAAATTTCTTTTCATTTCTACTCTTACAATCTTGTGCATTCTGCTATCCCCTGTGGTTGGCTAGTTCTTGAGCCATAGCCACTTGCATGAGCCATCAGCATGGAGGGGACACAGACCAGGTCAAAAGTCTTCATCTTGTAGGTGGAGATTGAGAGGCGTCATAACTGGATGTTTCTGGAGACAGGGGTGTGCTCAGTAGTGGTGTCCTTTCACCAGCACCAACACAGGCCTAAACTAGTTCAGGATTGGACCATGTTGATTTTTCCCTCATCCAGGGGTTTTCTGCAGATATTCTAATGTCACTTTCACAGACCATCATCCTTCCTGGGCCAAGGCTATGCAGGAACAAAAACAGCAGGTGTTACCTACATGGTGGCAGCTCCCACCTTTGAGCACTGAGCTTTCTTCCGGAGCACTGAAGCACTGTTTACAGCCAAGAGAATCATCTTCAGGGACTTTCGTCATTCACGCCCTCAGGACCAGGAAAAAAAGCTTATTCAATAACTAAGTAAGGTGATGTGATTACCTCTTCAATCACATCTTTAATACGTTTTCTGGGAATGGTGGAGGTTCTAAATGAGAATGTATTCAATCAAATAAAGTTGAGCTCCTTGAGGGAAAAAACAAATTCAATGTTTTATTCAAGCTGTGATCCCAATAGCTCTCCTCTAATACTTGCGGGATGGGTGGGAAGATGGACAACACATGGATGAAAATTACTCAACAGGAAAATACACCTTGAATGAATGAATGAAGTACTGGTTTTAGAAAGGAGGGAAGGATGGAGAGATTATTAGAGCAAGGAAGATCCTGAAGGAAATGAGCAGGCTTTGGTAAAAAGGGTTTCTTGGGTGTGGGAAACACCCAGATGAAGTCAGCCTGCCATTTACCCCTCTGCAGGAAATTCCTCTGGGCCACACCACATCTTCTCTCATTCCCTCAGCTGCTGAACCTTGATTGAGCTAGGTCCCTTGTTACAAGGCCAGAAATAGAAAGGAGAAAACAAATTATGATAATTTCCACTGCCTTAACAAGACACTTGCATTCATGTTCTGTGAGCTTAAGAAGGGCATTTACCAGTGCAGCTCTGTAGTGAAAATGTTTCTCGAGCCAGGGAAAGACGCAAAACTGGAGCCTTGGTGGCCATCTGGACAAAGCCCTTAATCAGCTACCTATGATGCCCATTTGCAGGTTCATGGGAAGTCTGCAGTCATTACAAGCTCTGCCTGGCGTTGGCCCTCCACCAAAGGACCTCCAGTTCCTGCCTCTTGGGGCACAAACCCCTACCACCCCCAGACCACTGACTCACCCCAGGCCCCTGCAGTCTTTATCATCACCATACCCTATGGTTTGGGTGGCATCTGGTCCTAAAACGTTCCCAGGCTTCTGCCTCGCTTCTCAGGTGCGCCAGTCTCTTCACACATGGCTGGCCTTCTCCGAAGCTGCTGCAGTTACTCTCAGTGGCCAAATCGTTTCTTATTTCCCCTGATAAACAAGGCAATAGGGCTTGATTAAAGAGTTCCTTCTTTGGAGGGCAGAGTGGCTGTCTTCCCTTGATTAAAATGTTTGCCAGCTGTTGCTCATTCTGGTCTCAGGTGGCTTAACTCTTCAGGAAAGTCAGATACTTCACTCACTGGTAATTATTTTTCCTTATTAAAAATCCATTTGCCTCCATGTGACCAACATGCAACTCTCCATCATGATGTTGAGCCATTCCCACGTCTTCCATCCATCTCCACTGCAATTTGGTTTTATCATCTGATCCTACCAGGTAAGAGAAAGCAATTAATCCTCCGCCCTTGAAGTTTGACCCCTACAAGATTAACCAGGTTCCTTGGAGTGTCTGATCACCTGGTGAAAACAAGCAGGACCTTTTGTCAGGTCTCTCTTCACACCTGTGAAGGTCTCTGTTCGTGACTACAGGGCATGACAGCAGTCACAGCACAAAACACTTCATCATCAACACTTTATACCCTTGCAGCTAAAGAACAGTCAGCACTTGGAGGCTTTCCTTCTAGGAGACAGTCATATCACAACAGCACTGTGTGCTCATTCTCTCGAGTCCTGCTGCCCTGCAGACAGGTTCAAAGCCCCACTTGCAGAGTCATTTATTCACCGTGCTGCCCAAGATTGCATCTGACTACTGAGATGCTGAGATCGAGGAAAGACCGGATACAAGAGCACCTCGAGAATTCTGCACCCAGAGGGCAGAGCCCAGGCATAAATGTTTTAAAAGGCAAGATAATTTTCCATGTTGGCAATTTCTAGGTCAGATTGCTTTCACATTATTTTCGAAAAGGAGCCAATCCCTCCCTGCATCAACCATTGCAAAGAAAGTCAACAAAGAACAAAAATATATCTGAATAAATAGGTTTTCATTTACTCTTTCAACAATTTATTGGTTGATTACTCTGCATCAGGGAAGGTTCTAGGTGAAAGCACTAGAGCCTCTGTCTAATCTGAATTTATCTTTTTCAATGTATGAGTCAAATTCTGCTGACTGGGAAGCACTAATGAGATAATTAAACAGAAGTCTAATCTAGAGTGACTGGGGCGGTTCTGGTTCAGTTTCGTTGACAGGGCAGGCTCTCTGAGGAAGCCCTTGAAGGCATACATGGGAGGGCCTACTCTCACCTGCTGGGCCTGGCCACCTCTACCCCATTCTCCTTTGAAAACAGCATTTTCAAGATCAGAGATGCTAAACTGACACCACTGTGAAAATCTAATTACAACCTCTCTTCTTCTAGTGAAGATGTTAACACTGGATAAAACAGGTCTCCATCCCCAACAAAGAAAAGAAAACTTGTTTTAATTAAATATCCAATTTTCAGTTGGTTTTATTGCTGTTGTTTTTTGTTTCTGTTTGTGCCAGATAGAGGACAGGAAGGCTGCAATCTCTTAGAAAACATATAAACTTATGTCCTAGAAGGCAGATCCCAGGCATCTTCCTCTGAAGCCCTCAGTCACACTCTCACTTAAGACATCTGCTGCAGGTGGAGGGACTGTCAAAAACTTTTGCAGGTAATCTGGTAAGATGTATTCAAATACTTTAAAATGTATCCTGTTTTTTTTCTTTTTCACTTTTTATTTCCTTAAATCTCTGGAAGTGAAATTTACCTTCAATGAGGTTCATTACAGTGCCATTTGAAAAGGTGAAAGGCTGACAACAATGTAACAGTCCAGACACAGGGGATGATGACACATCCATCTACTGGGGCACGGGGTACCATCCCACAAGAAGGGGATGTGAGTTACAAAAAATCTAGAATGTGCTGTTGGGTGAAATGGTATGGACCAGTATCCTCCGTGTTACTAACTGTATATCCATAAGTACAAAGAAGTCCAGTGAAATCCCAAAATGTTCAGAGGAGTGACATTGTGGAAGATTTTTATTTTATTAGCAATATTTTCTTATTTTTTAAACATCACATATATGACTTGAGTAAGTTTTTAAAGTTAATGTTTAAAAGAGAACAAAATAGTTGCCCAGAGTAACCTTGTCTTCTAAGTATACCCTCCTACCCTCAAGTGGGCAGTAAATGGCTTGCCTGTCACCTATGGGTGATCTTGTCTAAACTTGCTACCCTGTACTCATGGTTGGAGGCTACCTGGGTGTTGAGTCTGTGGACTGCAATGAAGTTCTTGAGAAGAAGCACAGGCCCTCCCAGAGTGCAGGCATATGTGACCATGCAGTGGCCACCCTGCCCGGACTCATGGGAGAATCAGCCATTCTGCTCAGCTCCTGGTCAGTCACGCCCTTCCTCACTCAGAGTGTCCAAGCACCCACCCTCAGTGCATTCACTGCAAGTCCCCTGATGATCAGACGACTGTCCATGGACCGTATGGGAGGGAGGGGTGCTGCTGAGGCTGCTGGGCCTGCTCCCACATTGCCTGTCCGTGGCATGGAGGATCCTCCCTCCCTGATCCACCCCTTGTTCTGTTGCCCATGTGAACACTGGGATTAGGCCTGAGAAAGAAAAAAAAACTGCTTCTGCTTCTAAGACTATGTTTGTCATCAGTGTACTTCTGATCAGAAAGACAAGTTTTGTAAACTTCATGACTCACCTTCATGTTTCCCACGTGCTTCCATGCTTCCCTCTCCCCTGCCTGTCTCACTGATCCCTTGAGGCTCCCCCTCCCCAACCCACAATTACTCCATAGCTTCCAGCAGAGTTTTAGGTTCCCCCCAAAGTGCACATATACACAGAATTCTGTGGGTCAGGCAGTATCTTAAAGAGGTTCCATCACACCTAAAGGTTTGGAGTCACTAGCTTGTGGCATGTCTTCAAAGATAAACAAAAGATTTGAACTGTTCAGCCTTAAAATAATAAATAAAACCTGAAAATGAAAAACCTCATCAAATTAAGCTTCTGCCCATTTTAGAAATCAAGGGCAACCACAAAGGAGATGACTCAGTTCTGAAAGACAAGAATACCCAAATGGGTGTATTGTGGGGTCCAGGAAGGATGCTTCTGAGCTTGTTGAGCTCAGCAGAAGCAGAGACACCGAGCCAGTCCAGGAACACAGACAGGGACCAGGCACTGTCCTGGCAGGTTAAATCTTAAATCTCTATGTAGCCCATTACTATCAGCAAATGGATCTTTATTAAGCTCTGATCTTGTATTGTGTATATCCTTCTCCACAGTTCTGAGCTCCCTGAGAGGACAGCCCACAGTGTTTCCCTTTCTATCTCCAAGGCCTGCTCCCAAAAGATGAACCTTCAGCTGTCCACATTGCACGTCAGAGCCTTCGGCATCCCTGATGTGCCAGCTGGCACCAGCTTCAGCAGCCAAGTGCATCTGCTGTGCTCACATCTGCCATGCCATCCTGGGGTCCTGGGCCCCTGCACACAGCAGGCCAGTTTATGTGGCCCCATCCTCTACATCTCTGTCTGCCTCCATAGTGCAGATGGCTCTAAAGTCACACCAGCCCAACTTCCAGGCCAAGACCTGGCGTAGCTAGGTTACCCTATCATTCCTGTATCCAGATCCAGATTTCTCCTGCTGCCTCTGTTCTTCCTAGGCCTCCACTGTGACTCAGGCCATCCTCGTCCCACTGCCAATGTAAGAACCAAGAACTACATCATTCCATTGCTTTCTGCATTCCCTCTATCAATGGTGGCACCCTACACAACTGCATCTAGGTAAAACAAGAGTTCCCCTGCCTGAGGTATGCAGGGTGGTGGTGGTGGTGGGGTGGGCTTTGCTGCAATCTCTTTTATCTCCAATTCTTTAAGAAGAAGTTTCATTCTTTTCCATGGGGACTTTTCTCTCATCCACAGGCATCAAAAGCTAGTTAGAAAGTTCTTCTCAGTTTTGCCTGCATGTCAATGTTTTTATTCCTGTTGTTGGGAAATAAACACCTGAATGTCTCCCTTGCCCATACTGACTGTTGCCATCTGCCTGGCCACGCCTCGACCTCCCCAGATACCATGCACCTGTCCTATGCTGTAATTAATATTTACTGAGATCTTAGCTTAATGATCCAGCTTTGTCATCTGGACCATGCCTTATAAAAAGAAAGGCACAACTTCAAAATGTTTTTCCTTCTAAATTGCTGTAAAATTGTGAATTATGGCAACTGCAGTAAAACTTCAATTATTCAGATGCACTAGGGGAACATACCTAAATTTGGAATGAGTGAAGAGGCTTTACAAAAAAGCAGGGTGTGAGTAAGGAAAGCAGCGAGATTTCAGAGCTTCCCATTTTTGCTACAGGATCATCAGCCTCGTGCTGCAGCAGAGGACACAAGAGCACACCTCAGAGTAAATCAGAAAGCACCCCGCAAATCAGCTCCCTGACAGGGAAAGGGGAAAACACACTACTGGCGAGGGGCCACTCCCCTGTGCCCATGTGACATGTTGGCTATAAACCCCATCCTGGTCAGAGCAGTTATTTTGCACTAGGCAAATTTAAATGTGTGTTATTGGATTTTGTGTGAGGTAACAAAACTGAATATTAACTTTCACTCACCAAAAACTTGCTGTATCTCAAGCAGAGCATCCTCCCTTTCTCTCTCTCTCTCTCTTTTTTTTTTTTTTTTTTTTTTTTTTGAGATGTACTCTCATTCAGTCACCAGCCTGGAGGGCAGCTGCGTGATCTTGGCTCACAGCAACCTCTGCCTCCTGGCTTCAAGCAATTCTCCTGTTTCAACGTCCTGAGTAGCTGGGACTACAGATGCACACCACCATGCCTAGCTAATTTTGTATTTTTAGTAAAGACAGCGTTCACCATGTTGGCCAGGATGGTCTCGATCTCCTGACCTTGTGATCCACCCTCCTCGGCCTCCCAAAGTGCTAGGATTACAGGCTTAGCCACCGTGCCCAGTCACTCCCTCTTTCTTGCCCATATCTCACCTTCATTCTAGTCATGGGTGCTTTTAAAACCTATTCTGTTGGTGACAGAAAGGGTTAATATCACCATAAGCCAACACAAGTTCAAGATATCATATACTTTTCACTGTCTGTTTTGAAAATGTTTACACTGGTGTCCAAATTAGAACAAGTGGCCATGTAATGCAAGCAAGATGGATTCTGGCTACCACAAGCCACAAGAGCAGAGAGGGAACCAAAGACAAGATGACATGTCACAAGCTACGGGGAAGCAGAGGGCAAGCTACAGCTCTTTTAGTTCTTTAGGCATTTAATCAGCTAGAAAAGCTGGTGCCTGCTGCTCCACTCCCAGTGGCCTCTCCATTATCACTAAAATAATAATGACAAATTGAGAAAGGCACAGAGGACCGGCAAATGTGAAGCCAAGTGTTGA